TGCCTAAAATGTGAAAGAAATCTGACTTAATAACAAAAAAATGGATGAGTTGAAACTGGTTAATGTCAAAATAACAAAAAAAATAAATCATTAGGGCACTCGAAATTTACTGACTACAACAGCAAGTCTTTGACATATAACAACTGAGTTTGTCTAAACAGCAACACAACAACCGTCCCTTTTTCTTTTCAAATATTCTTTTATTAGACTAAGAAATGCAATTTTTTAATCTGTAAATGTAATCATAGAATCACAGAATTGTTTAGTTTGAAGAAGACCTCTAAGTTCATTGAGTCCAACCATTAACCCAGCACTGCCAAGTCAAGCACCAAATCATGTCCCTAAGTGCCACATACACACGCTTTTGAAATACTTCCAGGGGTGGGGAGTTCACTTCCTTGGGCAGCCTTGCTTGACAACCTTTTTGGGGAAGAATTTTCCCTAATATCCAATCTAAACCTCCCCTGGCACAACTTGAGGCCATTTCCTCTTGTCCTGTCACTTATCTGTGGGAGGAGGCCGACCCTCACCTGGCTCCAGCCTCCTTTCAGGTAGTTGTAGAGAGAGATAAGGTCCCCCTGGAGCCTCCTTTTCTCCAGGCTAAACAATGCCAGCTCCCTCAGAGGCTCCTCACAGTACTTGTGCTCCAGACCCTTCATCAGCTCTGTTGTCCTTCTCTGGACACATTCTGGCACTGCAATGTCTTTCACGTGGGGGCGTGGGGGGCAATGATACACATGATACATGTCATGTAATTTGATGACAGTCAAGGAAAAGGTATCAATGAGGCTGAAAATGCCATGGCCCAGTTTACCATCCTGACACTTTCTAACCATTTCACATGTTTCTGCTGGGCACAAACCACAGCTGCAGCTGTGCTGGGAATACATATGTAGCTCACACAAGATGTGTCTGCATATAATCTTAAAATGCACTTGACCTTATGGCACAGCAACAGCCAATATACAGTTGAGAGCACTTGAGCCCTTTTAAGCTTTCACCCTCAGAGTGCCCTATGGGATATATGAAATTAACACCACATTCAGCAAACACTGGTGAATGGCCAGGGACAACACTGTTATTCAGAAACCACTTTTATCAGCAAACCAAAAAAATAAAAAATGAATACAAACCTTTGGAGCAACTTTTTATTGTGATACCAGTTTTCCATCCTCCTGCTATTTTTAATGGTGAGTAGGTGGATTTATGTAGGATAAAAGAGTAAACTGAGTCCTGACTTGCTGTCCCTGAAGTATAACCTAAGTCTACAGAGCAGCAGTGGATCGGACAGAAACTGGGTCAGAGTGCATCTAAGAACTGAACTTCATTTGTATAAACAAACAAGCTTTATTTACAGTATTCCTTCATAAAATCCCAGGCTTCAAGTCTGCATGTTCTTTAAAGACTCCATTTATGTACACTTGAATGCCTATTTAAGCAAAAAAACAAGAAAGCTTTCCCATGGAAACCGCACAGAGATGTTTTACTTCACACGTACACCACAAACAAGGCTGCTAACTTTCCATAATTTACTGTATTTTCTTAGACTTGCCATTGTATTTTAGGACCAAATCTTTTGGAGAAGCTGCTTACGCAGGAGGCCACAGACATATAAATAAATGACCTAAAAGAGGCAAAGCCCAAGATATGAACTGAGAGGAAACAGCATCTTGGCAGCTTGTAAGAAAATTTCAATATTTTTGGTTTCCCTGTTTCTATCTGGAGAAACAGGTTAAAATTTTGTGTTTAGTTGAGAAACAAGCAATCTGGAGGCCATTGGAACTGCATTATTAAATCAGGACTTGATTCATCCCTTAGAATTAAATCAAGCCAGAGGACAATCCCTGGGCTAAGACAATAGCAAGCTTCAGTTACCAGATGCTATCTCTCAGCAAGGAATCTAAGTCAGAGGGCCTCAAAGGATCCCAGTTTTTAAAATCTGCTTAAGAGGACAGAGAGAGAGAGAGAGATTGACTTCTTGGGCTTTATCAGACAGACATAAATTGGTTCAATTACTTCAGCAAGAACATGAGCAGTTTTTCTCTGTGAATAAAATACAGCCAGCTAAAATCATACTCTGTTTTGAGAATTTGCCTTTTAGATTCAGGTGATATGTCTCTAAGCATGAATGCACACAATCTACTTTTGTATGCATGCATTTTAGGGGACAAATTTTGCTCCTACTTATAGTTACTACTGATTGTCTCAAGGCTACAGTAAAGGGTTAAGTCCTAACTTCAAAAGAGATGGTTACTTCTGCTGGGGGCCACAAGATAAGCAAGGACACCAAGACTTTCAGGTTTAGTCCCTGCACTGAAAGAATTGGATGGGCTCACCTGTTTGGAAAAAAAACTCAAACCAAAACAACAACCCTGGGAGAAATCTGGGCATAGAATCAAAGTCCCTTTGGCATGAACTTATGACAACTCTGCCCATGAATAAGCAGGCTGTGTTGAATTGCTGAAAACAGAGGCAGGGCTTGCCAAAACTGAGGATGAGGAAATCTCTGACTGATACTATTTCAAACTTGATGATGCTTCTACAGTTGGTGTGAGAGCAAGGAAAAGCTGTCCTTGATGGTGTCTTTAGCTCCAGTGAGGAACACTGATCCCTGAAGTGTCTGAGAAGAAGGGCAGAGAATTTGGTCAGATACTGGAAAGTCAAGTGGGAGATCCTGTGGCCCTACAGCAGTGGCCGGGAAGATAAACAAGAGATGTTTTGTCTCAAAGAATGCCAAGCACTTGGGAAACCATTTGGATAAGAGGGAAAAAGACTATATATAAGCAAAACCTAATTGACAGTATTTAGAAACATAAACCAGTTGTCTCTGATTTAACCAGGGCTAAATTTACTTCAGCTGAGTAGAATGACATGGTTTCTAGAGGGTAAATAATGAATCCTTCTTTTTGCTTTTAGTGGGGAGGTTTTGATGTGGTGTTTGAACTAATATATTTAATTACAATGCTTTCCTATATATCAACATATATTCCCATATACTTGGTTCCTAGCTTCTCTACAGTAAAAATAAAATAGAATGAAGTTATTTCATTGTGTAGAAACACACTAACCTATTCTAGCAAATATTTTAAACACTGTTTACATAAGATGCTTGATTGTGATAAAAATCTTTCTTAAAATATGTTCACACATATCATAACATCATACTTTTCTTGATACAGATTTATTTATGGTACCTACTCAGGAATCACTAGTTGTTCCTGCAAGCGAAGCGCTTTTAACTAGAGCAGCTTCTCTGTCTCTTTGCAGCTCAATGGTAGCTATTTCAGACATCTCAGCACACTGTCTTCCCCCGCTTCTCATCATCTTTCTCATATTACGTACCCAGTGTAGAACTTAAAATGCAGAGACTCAAACGTAAGAGTGAATAACCTCACAAACATACATGTGATAGTAAGTGTACACATTTAGTGCTTTTCGAGAGAACTGTTATAATACTTTTAAATTTCAAGTGCAGGGCAGAGAAGTCCAATTGTATACACCCACTCATAAGTGAATGCACTTAGCAGACGACACATAGGTACTTGTAAGCTTTCAGCTGCAAAAGAAATGCATTTGTAGTATGGTTATAAAAAAAAAGCCACGGTAATGCTTCCAGATATTGTTTCTTCTTTTTTTTTTTTTTAAATAATAAACAACATACTCATAATATTCTGCTAGAGAAAAGAAGAAAGTCCACACCAAAAAGAAAATTAAAAAAATCACACTTTATCAAGAAATGCTGCTCCTTTAAATCATATGGTGGCAAAACCAAATTTCTATTAAATTTCTATTCTATTTCTCTGGTGGGAAAAAAATTTCTATTACAGTGCATCAAAATCAAAAACCAAATGTTACTTGATGTTGTCCATAAAATTTAAATTAGTATAAAAATCTACAAATGCATAAGTCAATTGTTGTTTGCTTCTATCATTTCCTAATTACAGTCTCTGACCATGCCATTCATTTGATTTACTCAGCTTGATTTATTTTTGTTTCAACTCTTATTTATGCATATTTGCAGATTTAATTTAATCTTCTGACTGTCACTCAAAATGTTCATCCCAATATGCCTTGTTATTTATGCGGTTTGATGCTTTTATATGCTGAACAACTGATAATCAGCCTACTTAAATCTCTTGCTGTTCTAACATTTTTACACTTCGCAAAACTGAAATACTGCAGCAAGGCTGCTGCCCATGTTGCTCCATTCAGGTAAAATCTGTTCTGCTTCATAAGAAGGCAGGGATAATACCTAGCTTTGGGGGCACCGCTGCCCATGGTAGCTTGCCCTTGCAACAGAACCACTCTGGGAGGCTGCCTTATCCTCTTTAACAAGAGAGGGTACTCAGGCTGAACTGGTGTCTCCCCAGCCTGAAACAAGGGCTTGCAGAAAAAATGTGGAGGAAGAATCAGAGATTCTCTCTTTCCAACCAACAAAAAAGCAGTAAAGCAAGAGACATTCAGACTTTCATATAACTTTCTCAGGATCTGATAGGACTCTCTCCTATGCTGGATTGGTGGTTTGCTCTACCTCCTCCTGTTCTTCCATGTCTTTTTATTACAGCTGAATTCCATTTCTTTCAGGTTTTTCTTCCCTGCTCTCTCCATCTCACATGCTTCCCTTCAGGGTCCCCTCAATACCCACACAAAACCAGGGAGTTACCTTGACTGACTGCTACCATGCAGATTACTCCTGCTGTGGGCTATCTCATCTACTTATATTGGAAGTTCTTTGGAGCAGAGACTGACACCACTCCATGCCCATACAATGCCTAGCAGAAAGAGCCTCCTTTTAATCAGTCCTCTGGCACTAATGTAATAAGCATGATTAGTAAAGTAACTGTCTACACTCACCTATGGGAATGCTAGGACTGTATGAGAACGAAAACAGGTTCAGCTTTTGTAATGCTAGAAATGGACAGTTTAATCCATGAAACTTCTACCCACAGAAACCCATGTAACAAAAGCAATATTTACTAGGAAAAGGCAATCTGACTTACTTTGCTCTCTTGGCCATTTCGTTGCCATCCCAGCGCGGGCTGTAAGGGTAATTCTTCTGGGCCTGGGAGTACAGCTGGCCACTGTTGGTGAAGTGGTAGACGGACTGAAATGTTAGGGTTGGTTGGTCTCGTGGAAAGTACAGGGGTAGGTCAACTGTAATTCAAAAAGAAAAAAAAAATCATAAAAATACACCATTGCATTTTCTCCCTTTTTTACTGGGAAAATATCAGTCCTTTCTATGTGTTTAAAGGGGACAGAAAAGAAGAAATTGATGATTAGTTCTAAAATATAGCTCTGTATTTCTCACAAGTAATGATTCCAACCTATTACTGGATGAGATGCTTCGCTTTATCAGAACACTTTTGTAAAGCACATAATTAAAAAAATGTTAGTGTATTTCTATGCTAATCATAAAATTAACATCATGATTACTTTGTTATAAAAAATAAGTTATTTTCCTTTTACTGTGAAATTTTTCCCTATAAAAAATCACAAAATACGTTCTATATACCATTCAATAATCAATTTTCTCTTTATCTGCTTTAGGCAATTCGTTTTAATGCCCTTTTGGACATAAAAAGCATTATCATTCTCCTTTTACAGCTGCCTGGGTCCTAAAGTGGTTAAATGATTTGATAAAGAATGTAGAAAAATTCAGTCACATGAGCTGGAAAAGATTTCAACTTGCTGTCATCTGCTAGACAAAAAAAACACCCACAACCCCAAAAACACACTGCAAAGTCATTAATACCCAAAATATCTCACTAAAAATAAAAATCAGAACCTCTTAGTTCCCTTTGCTTATCACTGTCTCATGATCAGCTAGGTCTGGCAGAACAATAAGATGGCCTACAACAGTTAGAAACTGGTATATATTTTCATGGTCAGAAACTGGTTTTTTCACTTTTTCATTGTTAGAATTATAGTTTATATTTTCTTGGTCTACTTTCAATTTCAGAAATCTGTAGTTAAATTGAGTTATGACAACAGACTAGAATTACTAATATCACAGAATCATAGAATCAGTGAGGTTGGAAGGGACCTCTGAGATCATCAAGTCCAACCCTTGATCCACTACCACTGTGGTTACTAGACCATGGCACTCAGTGCCACATCCAGTCTTATCTTAAAAACCTCCAGGGATGGAGAATCCACCACTTCCCTGGGCAGCCCATTCCAATGTCCGATTTCTTCCTAACATCCAACCTAAACCTCCCCTGGCACAGCTTAAGACCATGCCCTCTCGTCTTACTGATAGCTGCCTGGGAGAAGAGACCAACTCCCACCTGGCTACAACCTCCTTTCAGGGAGTTGTAGAGAGTGATGAGGTCTCCCCTTGAGCCTCCTCTTCTCCAGGCTGAACAACCCCAGCTCCCTCAGCCTCTCCTCATAGGACTTGTGCTCCAGTCCCTTCACCACCCTCGTCGCTCTTCTCTGGACCTGCTCCAGCACCTCCATATCCTTCCTGAACTGAGGGGCCCAGAACTGGACACAGTACTCCAGGTGTAGCCTCACCAGTGCTGAGTACAGGGGAAGAATCACTTCTCTGGACCTGTTGGCCACACTGTTCCTGATCCAGGCCAGGATGCCATTGGCTTTCTTGGCCACCTGGGCACACTGCTGACTCATGTTCAGCTTCCTGTCAATCCAAACTCCCAGGTCCCTTTCTGCCTGGCTGCTCTTCAGTCACTCTGTGCCCAGCCTGTAGCGCTGCAGGGGGTTGTTGTGGCCAAAGTGCAGGACCCAGCACTTGGTCTTGTTGAACCTCATCCCATTGGAATCAGACCATCTCTCCAGCTTGTCCAGGTCCTCTGCAGAGCCCTCCTGCCTTCCAGCTGATCGACACTCCCCCTCAACTTAGTGTCATCTGCAAATTTGCTGATGGTACACACTCAATCCCCTCATCTAAACCATTGATGAAGATATTAAACAGAACTGGATCCAACAGTTCTGTTTAATATGTTTAATATAACATCAACGTTAACAGAATAAAGCGGATTTCTTTTAAAGGTGTACACTTAACTTATAAAGCACCTATAACTGTACTTTTTGTTAACCTCCAAAGCCCAGTTCTTTAATTCTGCACAATGAAAGAACACTGCAGTAGAATTGTATTTTAAATACTTTCTGGAGCAGAGATTCCAGCACTTCCTATGAAACTCTGTTTACAGGCTCAGATACCAGTGTAAGACAGGTTTTACTTTCCAAATTCCATGCTATTATGCCACTAGTTCCTTCATTTTTCAGGTTTTCTAATCACATCTAAATACTCTGATGTGCATCAGCCACACCATATCTTCCTTTTCCCTAAATTACCCTGCAAGATCTAGGAGTAAAAGCCGTTTGTAGCCATGAAGTACACAAAACCAAATGTGCTATTCCAGCTGTAGTCTCAAAATACAAGAAATCACTGTGGATGACAGCGCTTGCTCAGTTCATGACCCAGTGTCTGATCCACACGTGACAACTCCCAAAGTACTGGTGACTCAGCCCACACACCAGCTTCCAGGAGATACTTAAGTGGTAATGACATGGGCAGAGTTCTGCTAATTTGAGGGCAGATCACTGTTTTAACAAAGGTTAGATTCAAAGATTGCTCTGTCAAATTCCTCTTTATAACATGATTACTAAATAACAACCCTGAAAAACATTGGTGTAACATGCTCACTTATCAGCAAGCAAGCTGTCTCCTCCCCTCACAAACTGTGTGTGCGCCTCAGCCTCTGAAGGACTTCACCTTGTAAAAGAGTAAAGAAAGAAGACTGGTTTTCCATTTTAATGTTATAAATATACTACTTCAGCTCTGAGTGCTTAAACTCTGCTCCTCTAGTGCATCTTTTTCCTTCTTAAGTACCAACTCCTTAACAGAAAACAACTCTTTACACTTCTGTATTTTATCACTATGTGAGAGGAATAACAAACTTTAACAAAGCATTCCAGTAATAGTTTTATTATACTTTTTAGTTGAGAATTTCTAGCTTTCACTAACTTTCCTTTGAAAACTCTGTCTACATAACAGGGGTAAGCAGCAACACTTTTCCTCCTGTTATCTAAAACTAAAGGTTTGCCCTTAACACAAAGTATCTAGCACTAGAAATGCTGTTTAAATGGATAATCAAGACAGTGCTCTCATTACAGAGATACTTTAATTTGTTAAAAGAAGGTATCACCAAACTATAACAGAAAAAAATTTCTTGTTCTATTAACCAAAATCTGTATAGGAATTTTCAGGAATTTCTTATGTTGATCCAATAAATCAGATAATCAAATTAGATTAAAAATTGTGCATCCCACAGCTGGCCAGCAACAGTATCACCCTGAACTGCAAGCAGTTTTGAAAAATTTGACCTGCCTTTGATTTCTAACACTACCCTTCACCTAAAATCTTCCAGTTTTCTAATCCAAGTGTTTTCTTAATACAAGGTGTGGATGAGTCCAGACCAAGTAAAATAACCTGTCCCTAATTCTGGAACACAACCACACCTAAAAGACCGGTAAACAGGAAATAGCCTTGAGTTGTAAAGTGTTATACATATCTCAAGGTAGCCAGCTATTATTTTGGCAGTAGGAAAGGAAGGCAAGAACTTGCTTCCGTCGCAGTGGATGCCCGTCCATTGACACTGCTACTGCACAGAATGCAAAAAATAACAAATACCATTGGTAATTCATGCCAGCAAAGTACATTTGATACAAAAGGTCAAATTCTGCTCACAGTCACATAGGTTGCTAAAGAAAATTTTTCTTTTCACCTGGTAGCGTATAGGCAGTCTGACTCTCAATCTGTGCATTAATAAAATATCAGTTCTGCCTCCATGCAATACATAAGGTGGCAAAGGTGTTATTGTAATTACATTCAAGACAACATTTATACTTTGCCATGAAAAATGCATCACAGTTAACAACACACCAGTTCTGTAAATCAACATTTGAAGTAGGCAAACTGTGTTGGTTTGGCATGCAAGTTACCCAAGAACTACAAAAACGTATCACGTTGAATACAAGTACTCTTTCCAAATAACAGCTGACTCAGAAGTACCCTGGTGATATGTCTGCAGAAAATAAGCAGATGACTCATGTCTGTAAATTCCTGAAAGTACCAATAGACCCCTTGCTTAGTCATCTTTTGCTTGGATGCTGGGTTCACGAGCTCTGTAAACTATAATGAGGGATCTAGCTCTTAGTAGGACTCTCTCTCCCTTTTTTCCTCTCTTCTAAACAGTGCAAATTATCTCCCTAAAAATAACTTCATCTGCGTAAGTGAGTCACTTCAACTAGCAAGCTTATACAAGTCATGCAGTTAAGCAGTAATATTTGGTTATGAAGGTAAAAATGTTGCTCTCAAACTCAGATTTAAAACGAAAATTATGTCAGAGGAAGTCCCATTTACCCCTTCTCTCACAGAAATAGAAACATTTCCTTTGGAAAATTTAAACAATTAGCTCATTCAGGAAAGTAAAGCTTTCTAATTTAGTTCCACGTTCAAAGTAATTTAATACTGATGATTTCTTACTTTGGCTTTCCTTAGCATCACACTGTTAATATATGACGAACTCAAACAGCAGACTGGGGAAAGAAGCCAAAACCATAGTAAAACACTGCTTTCTTCTATGTTACAATTTACACATCATTTTTTAAAAGTCAATTTTTAGACAGCCATAGTGAGGGAAAAATCATGTCTTTATGCAAGCTCTACATGAGCAGAACTTGGAAGGCTGTTTATGGGTAATTAAGCATTGAGTAAATTCTGCAGTGATTGAACCCTAATTTTCCCACACAGTTCATAAGAAAGCAAAAGAAAAAGGATTTGCTTGTTGAGAATAAGTCATATTGTAAAGAAACCTAATTATGGTTTATAAATAGTTGAAGTTGCTCTCTTTTTGAAACACAAGAAACTATCTAGAAGGAATACAGATTTGCTTCTCTTGACTTAGCATTTAATGCATACATATATTCAAAGCACAGTTATCTTAAAGCCAAAATCCTTGTTCATTAATAATTAAGAAACTGTGCAATGAATCTGTAAGGTTGAATTGTTCACTTCCTTAAAAAATAACAATCTGAGACTTGGAACAGGTCACCTAGTTTGTTAAGTTTATGTCAACAACTACAGAGTTGATTTTGACTGCCTTAGTAACTTTAAAATAGTATCCTTA